TGTCCCGCCCTCTGGCTCCCCACCTCCCTCCCCCAGATCACCATCCAAACTCTATGCACCCTTTACCCCAGCTGACAATAGGGCTGCCGGGTGTCCAGTATTGACCCGGACAGTCCAGTATTTTCGCCTCCTGTCCGGTAAAAAAAAATGCAGAAAATACTGGACACCTAAAATGACTGGTATTTTCTGATTTTTTTTTCTAGCCAGGAGGTGAAAATACTGGACACCTGGCAACCCTAACACCCAGGCGCACCCATGCCTGGGCCCAGCCCCCAGCCTTCTCCCCCGCTGAGCCCAGATACCTAAAGCTCCCTACTCCCATGCTTACCTGGTTCTGCTGGGAAGCTAAGTTCTGGCTTGAACAAGAACACAAAATGGTCTCCAGCAAAAAGCCTAAAGATCAAGGGGAAGTAATGCCTTCCCTGGGTCTTAGTGCTCAACAGCTCCCCTGTTCCTATCCCTATTCTAACTCTACACTCACTCTGAAAGGGGCCATGCTGTTTTAATGTTGTTTTATTATTTTACTTTTTTGCTTAATAAGTCTTGGGAACAACTTTGGTCTTCCCCCCTTTTTTTCGTCAACAGAATTTTTTCCCCCTGTGTTTTTCTTTTGGGATGAGGTGGTGTTCAGTATTTCTGGTTCAACCATCTGGCAACCCTAAGTGACAACTCCCTCCCAGATCCTGAATCCCCCTTCTACATCCCACCCCCACTAGGGTTGCCAGATGGTTTAACCAAAAATACCAACCCCCCCCAAAAAAAAACCCACCAGGAAAAAGAGAATCCTTACAGCAGTTATTAAGCAAATTATAAAATAAAAAATCAGCAGAAGAGGCTTTTTTGCCAGTGGCCATTTGTTTTTCTGTTTAGCCATATTCCCTGAAGAACCAAGTAAGCGGTATCTCTAGATATGCAGACAGGGCCAAATTTATCATTGGTGTCAGCAGATATCAATGAAGTTAAGAACATAAGAACAGCCATACTGGGTCAGACCAAGAGTTCATCTAGCCCAGTATCCTGTCAGTCGACAGTGGCCAATGCCAGATGTCCCAGAGGCAGTGAACACAACAGGCAATCATCATGTGATCCCTCCTGTCACCCATCCCCAGCTTCTGACAAACAGAGGCTAGGGACACCATTCCTACCCATTCTAACTAACAGCCATTGATGGGCCCACCCTCCATTAATTTATCTAGCTCTTTTTGAACCCTCTTAAAGTCCCAGTCTTCACAACATCCTTTGGCAAGGAGTTCCACAGCTGACTGTGCACTGCATGAAGAAAAACTTCCTTTTGTTTGTTTTAAACCTGCTGGCTATTAATTTCATTTGGTGATCCCCTAGTTCTTGTATTATGGGAACAAGTGAATAACTTTTCCTGATCAGTCATGATTTCATAGACCTCTATCATATCCCCCCTTAGTCTCCTCTTTCTAAAATGAAAATCTCTTTTTAATCTCTCTTCATATTGGACCCATTCTAAACCCCTCATCATTTTTATTACCCTTTTCTGAACCTTTTCCAATGCCTGTATATCTTTTTTAGATGAGGCAACCATACCTGCATGCAGTATTCAAGTCGTGGGCGTACCATGGTTTTAGAGAGAGGCAATAAGATATTCTCTGTCTTATTCTCTATCTTTTTCTTAATGATTCCTAACATTCTGTTTGCTTTTTTGACTGCCGTTACACTGAGTGGATGTTTTCAGAGAACTATCCACAATGACTCCAAGCTCTGTCTCTTGAGTAGTTGTAGTAAATTAGTCCCCACCATATTGTATGTATAGTTGGTATTATTTTTTCCAATGTTCATTACTTTATATTTATCAACATTTCATTTGCCATTCTGTTGCTCAATCACTTGGTTACCTCAGCTAGAAATTTGCCCCCGTATGTATAGAGTATGATACTGATTTAGGAAAATCTAAAACAAGAATAAAAATTAATAAAATGTAACAATTCTAAATTTTTGATTTACAATTTCACCCATCATCTTAAATTCAAACATAGAACTAGAGTCTAGGACAGGGCTACTCAACTTTGGAAAACCTGGGGGCCACAACAATATTCACAGTACATACCGAGGGCCGCAACTTAAATGTGGTTGCATATACATGCAAATACATATGCAAATAGCTTCTTTCACACTGACAGGCATGATTACAAAAATTAAGGCAAGACTGCACAACGCACAGGTCCCATTTAAGTCAGTTCTGCTGATATTAATAAAATGCAATAGTTACCCAATTTCCACCCACATGACAGCACTTTTAATGAGCAATGACAATCCAGGAATTTAACTACTAAAACTCATATCAACAGGAGACCATTACATAGGACTACTTTTTTGTTTTGGCTCCCACCCGCGAGCTGTGTGTTGAGCCCCATGTAAACCCAAACTGCACTGCAGGCCGCAAAGAAACAGGCCATGGACTGCATGTGGCCCATGGGCCACATGTTGATTAGCCCTGCTCTAGGATAAAGCATATAAGTACAGAATGGCTCATACTTCAGCTGAAAGCACATACCCACATGGCTGCAGGAATACTCAGCGAAAGACTGTCAAATGTATCACATCTCACAGGACTCTGAAAGAGAATATTCCATATGTCCACTGGATTATAGTCAACCTGATCAAAACTGGCCTGAGCACTTGCTACTTCTATGGACCTAGAAGTTAGTACCCATAACTACTTCACAGGACTGAATTTTAACAAGATATAGTTTGATCCTGATATGTGTTTCTAAATACAGCACAATTAGTTACAAAAAATTCAAAGATCTGGTAAAAGTATTTTTTGGTTAATTCAATGGAGCGCAGGTTTATTTTCTTTTGCAAAGAATTTTGGAAATTGCTTTGTAAATATTTGAGCAGAATTCTTCCACAGTAGCAGAAGACCTTCTGTAAGCAAAAGCATTAGGTACAGTTTCTTCTGTCTTAACACACTCTCGGCTGGCCCAATCCCACATTTACTGTACAAGAATTAATAGGAACATTGGTGTTTAAAGACTGAATGACCAAGCCTTAAAATGCTACCTGTGCTATCAGCTTTTTCATGTAACACAAATGTATCTGCAAGTGAAAGTTGAATACTAAAAGCAATATTTAAGTTACAATCACCACACTTAAAAAACAAAGCATGGCCGTAATTATGCTTTTGTCATTATTATTACATATTTGTACAAAAACAATGCTATGCTAGGCACTTTTCAGACAAATATGAAAACAAAGTCATACTGGTAAGCTTACAATATAAGGGCACCAATCCGCAAAATTTTCAGGATTGCACAAAATAAAACAAAAGATGGTAGATGTCACTGAAGAATCCGCTAGAACTGTGGCATCCAACACGTAATCCACTAGCCATATGCAGCTATCTGGCCAGTTGAGTGTGACTAGTTGGTTTGAACAACATGGCTCTTTGGCCATCTGAGTATGGCTAGTTCACTATAGTAGTAGCCCCTACAGAGGCTACTGCTTCAGAAACAGTTGGACACCACAGTACTAGAATGCGCTTTGATTAAGATTTCCTTTTTCATTTGTTTATAATTCGTCTCAAACCCACAAGGCCTCATACCTGTTGTTTGCAGTGTTTGCAAAGCATGTTACTGGTCAGCCTTCCATGAAAAGGATGTTGAGACTTCCAGTGTGTTGACACAGGGTGAAGTGACCCTAAAATACAAAGCGGTAATTGTATTTAAAATTTAGTACTTTCATGTTCATCGTGGTTATTGATAAACGCCTGGACTTTTTAATTCTTTGGGAGGTTTTTTACAGTTGTTAAATCCCAGGTTTTTTAAAAAACATTTTATTTTCTGTTTACTAATCTTTAATTAACATTTAAAGATACATTCCAGAAACAAATCCAATAATACTAGTATTATTTCAGTAAATAAAAAAAACCTACTGCTTCCACAACTATAAATAAATACGAACATATCACATTTTTTCCAAGTGAGAAAGTGTTACCTCTTGTTCTGCAGCTTATTTGATTTGGGGTTACTTCTGGCTGCTACAGAGGAGGGGAAAAGATCTTATTAAATCTCACCTTACAAAACACAAAATCTTAAATATGCTCTCATTTTAGTCTAAAAATTGTGCCTTTAAGAATTTAATATTGAGAGACAACCAATGACACTGAAAAGTAATGAATTTTAAATTGATAAAAAGTGGGAAGGTTTATATAACACACTATGAACGCTGGAACTAACTTGTAGCAACAAGATACTGAGCGCTCACAAAAACTGATAAAAGCTTGATAGATAAAACATAGTTATATTAGATAAAATAAAAATGTATAAGAGATGCAATTCTTCAGGTCTCAAGAAATAAATCAACTGCTAATTGTGGAAAGTTAGGAGGAAATGTCTCCTCTGAATAGTTTATTCCATAATTGTCCATTATATAGTTTCTTGTATCTTCTGATAAAGCACTTGGTATATTGACAACTATTAGAGATAGGATGCCTGATTAGATGGACCAATGATCTGGGCCATTATGGTAATTCCTATAATCTACCCATACAGTATACTGAGATTCTCAAACAGATCATATTGTGGGCCCAATCCCATGTAATGCTGAGTGCTCTCAACTCCCACTGATGTAGATAGGCATTGAGAATGCTAAGGTCCTTGCATGACTGGTCAATATAAATGTAAAGAACTAAAATACTGTGCTTTACAAGGTTTGCTTGTTCAATGTGTAAGTTTTATCATCATTTTAATCTCAAGGTAGCAGAACATGGTTAGTACCGAAATAGGCGCTATTACTTTAAATGAAAAGGAAATCACATTTGTATACAGTTTTACCTCTAATGAATGAACATCAAATAAATGTGTAATCCGGGGCTGACGATCTCGCTCATCTTCCAACGAAGATGTAAGGACATGGAATAGTTCATGAGCATCCTATCAAAGGGTGATATACAACTTAGAGGGGACTCAAACAAGAAAATATCAACAATCCTACCAGGAGCATGTGTGCACATAGGCATTTGTCATGGCAACATGAACCATTAATTCTTTCCTTAGGAATCTGGACCCGGTTCATTTAAGAATAAGCACTTAGGCTGAAAGGAGATATGATTGCTTTCTCAAATTATATTTGGGGGTAAACACAAGACAGGAAGAAGAGATATTTAAGCAAAAAAAAAAAAAACCCCCACTGTTGGCACAAGAACAAATGACCATAAATTGGCCAAAATACACTGGCAGGAATGAAAAGGTTTCTAACTATTAGAGGAGTGAGGTTCTTGAACAACCTCCCAATATGAGTAGTGGGAGCAAACAGCCTTACTCATGTTAAGATGGATGTTAAATTTAGTTAACCCCACTGCGGCTCTGCCTTTTAAACGTATTAAGAGCCACTAGGCTCTTAATACATTTAAAAAGCAGACACGCAGCTGGAGGCACTGGAAATCTTTTAAATGTCTTAAGAGCCTGTATTAAGAGCCAGTAGGCTCTTAATACATTTGAAAAGCAGAGGCGTAGCATCTGGGACTGGGCATGAGCAGGGGGCTGCTCCAGCAAGCAGGGCTGTTCAGCCCAACCAGAGCAGCTTCTGTACATGGTGGAAAGGCCAATTCAGCCTAGTCGGGCTGGTGTGGTCCCTCCGCCTACACTCCACCCCTCATTTAATCAGTTAACCTTAACATGTAACTGGTTATTTAATTAATTAATCAGAATTTTATATCTCTAGTTGCTATTAAGCAGAAGCCACTACACTGGGTATGTCTCCATACGTGCTGTGCAGGGCTGGCTTTAGGCCGATTCCACCGATTCCCCTGAATCGGGCCCTGCGCCCTAAAGCCATGGTCACCAACCAGTCGTGAGGCCTCAACCAGTCGATCACAAGGTGTTTGGGCCCCCCCACTCCTCATTTTTCCCCCCCCGAGAAGCCCCGCTACCTACCTCCAGTGTAGTGCCGGCTTCCTGCGGAGTGGACGGAAGTCCTGCCTGCAGCTTCACGCGACTTCCGGGGGGGAACGGAAGTGCGCTGTCTGCTGCCCTCCCC